AGCAAGGCCTCTGTTCTCTCTGTACAATATTCACTGCTAGATACATTCCTCTTCTTCTCAGTCTTCCAAACTCGGTTGCTATGTTCAGTTTGAGGTCTAGTCTGGTATACGAAACAAATGAAATCTGATAATTTCAAGGCCTGTCTAGGAGATTCTGTTTTTCTGTTTTTCTGAAATAACTAAGGCTTGGCAATGTCATTGTATGACATATGAACATTTTTGAAATCAGAATTAAAAACTCTATTCACCTGCGCAAAAATACATTATGGTGTCCATGAGAAAAAATAAAGTTGATGCTGTAGGACAAATGACGAAATGCCATATTGAAATTCTAGTTATGCTACCTTGTACAGGAGAAAAAGTGGCAATGTTAATGTGCAATTTATTTTGACCACCGACTACAATTAACATCAGGAAAAGTTAATAAGATTTTAGGAAAATTCGTTTCTCTCCGTCTCTCTCCGGAAGCAGCATTTTGTTAATTACCTAAATACGCAACTTTGCCCCCATAAACGACGTCGTATCTCTTACAGTTTCCGAAATCCCAATGATAAGGGTCGGCTTTAAAACACCCTGTATAGCATGGTTTCGGAGATTTTTGGGAATTACATACCCCTCCATAGAAACATTTGTTACCTTCTGCTCTTCTTAAAGTTTTTTGCAGGTGCACTTTTACAAAAAGTTATCTCTCGCCGATGATGCCCCCTCCCCTGAGAAAAATTCCTGGGCGGCTATGTCCTTGTTGCCGATTCAGACGTTCTGTACACACTATGTGACGGAATTATACTACAGAATAGTCTAGGTTTATGCTTTATGTCAGAAACTAGTAGTCGAGATTATAGCTTCCTGCACTACTCTAATCTAAGTTTTGCATATGAAGTATCTCGGTATTCAGCCTGCATAATTCATTAAGCTATCACCAGCCAAACATCTGCCTATATTTGCAATAGGAGATGACTTAGAATAGACAATCTGCATTAAAAGCAATACATTTCTATCCCCTTATTACATCTAAGCCCACTAGTTGTCTTTGGCAGGCACCTTCAAGTTGTTCATACCAACCTGTTGGGCATAACTTAATTTTTTTCAACGGGAAGTTGGATTCAAAGAAGATATACAAATATAATATTCTATTTTGATTGTTCAGAGCATTCACGATAGGCTGAGAAAAATTTCAATTGGGTGGGATTAAGCGGTTTGGTGATTACACCGCATCATACTAGGATTGTATCAGCAGATCAACCGTGCTGTGTATTGGTGCGCGTATGATACCCTATTCGTAGTCCATTTACGCCCCAGCACAACAAAGATGCATCGTAACAAAGCGGTAGCCGCCTAGCGCTGCAATAGCTATTGGTCATTCGACCTTAAGACTACGAACAAGCGCAGGATTTGACAGGATAGAACTCAGGCGCGGGGTATCGCCGGCAGTTGCTGTTCATATTCGGTGCATACATAGCGTATGTTTATACGTGAGCATGTCGTCTACAGATACAGCAGAAGAAACTGAGAATATTTCTCCCAATCCTTCCTTCAGCCATGCTTCCTCTTCAGTGATGTCTCCATCCCGAAAACGTGACAGAAAGGGACATTTGAATATGCAGGCAAAATAAATATTCCTTAGTGTTTATAAGAGCGATATCTTAGAACTGAAAATTCATGATATTGGAAGACGTTTGGCGAACAAAACAGGCTTATGTCCTAAGACAATTTTCAGCATTGTTAAAGAATATAAAAAACAAAAAAAATGTCTGTTGAATACAGCTGATAACTTTTATCGGAATGCCATCAGACGCAAAGTCATAAATTTTTTGAAAGGCAGGAACCTCCCACCGTAGACAAAGAAAGTATTACAGGAAGTTAAAAGTGATGAAGACTCACCTACTTTCAAAAGAACCACATTGTATAGTTTACTCAACGAACTTCATTTTGAGTATAGGAAACGGGGAAAAATAGTATTTTGATGGACAGAAAAGAGATCATTTTATGTAGAGGAAATTATTTAAAATCAATAAGGAAATACCGCGACCAGAGCAGGAAGATTTATTACTTGCATGAAAGCTGGATAAATGCAGGACATACAAGACCTAAAGTATGGGCTGACTCTACAATTAAATCAGCAACACAAGCCTCCTTAGATGGACTAACCACTGACCTAAAGAATCCGCCAGTTACGTATATCTAATAAATTCGTCATTTGTGTTGTAAAAATGGTGTCAAGTCGACTGAATCTATGAGCACTCGCTGAAAACTTAGCTACACTAAACTTATCTATATCTGGTAGATTTGGAACCAATACTTGTTCGATACTCTTATTGTATTATTATTAGTTTTCTTGAATACTATATGAAATAATTATTTACAGGAACAGGAAAATGATTTGTTATCTGTCACGTTGGCAGTGAAAATGGCTTTGTGCCCACTGCCTTACGGGCATTTGAGTCAAAGAAAACGACCGACTACCATGAAGAAATGGACGGCAGTTCATTTGAACCTTTGTGTTGAAAAAACGTTCCCAAAGTTGTACTTGATAATGCTGCATACCACACTAGAAAAGTAGTAAAAAATTCCCACAATGGCCACAAAAAGGCAGAAATTCAACAATGGCTCCTATCAAAAGGCATTAGTTACAACGAAAATATGGCAAAGCAGAGCTTATCCATTCTGTCAGGCAGCACAAATATATATATATATATATATATATATAATCTTAATGTTATTGACGAAATGGCTAGAAACCAAAATAAGACCGACTTAAGGATACCCCTTATCACTTCGAATTAAGTCCCATTGAAATGATTTGGGCAAGTATAAAAAATTGTGTTACTTCAAACAATGAATATTCAAATGTTTTACGAAGCTGTCAACAGAGTGATGGCAAACCATTGGAAATATTGCATCCGTCATGTTCAAGAGACAATCGAAACAAAGATGTGGGATCAGGACAATACGATCGATATTCAAATTGAACCTGTAACAATTAATAATAACCATTCGGACGATGAATCAGGTACTTCCAGCGAATAAAGATAAGTATTAGATTATTCCAAGACCATTCAGGGAAATATAGATCTGTACAATCTCGCTGTTGTTATGTTTTGTCTGGGCGTAATTGGACTACGAATGGGGTATAGTTTGTGAGTTCCGTCTCAGTCAAAAGACGCGTATTTATCGCGTTGCGCAAACATCGCATGTCGTGAACGTAGCGTGTCATCACCAGCAAAATTTCGCTATGCTCAGAACATGATGAAAAAACAACACATCGAAGCTGATCCAATCTCCTAATCATCAGATCCACTTGGATCGTATAAACAGCATCCACTTGAATTCCAATCAAAAACCGGATACTAATGAAACACATATATTATGTACAAACAATATCTTTTATGGGCCGATATCCTATTTATTGTAGCAATTCTTCCGCTGTGTTAGACAAATGCTGATCGTTTTCCATGGTGACAGTTGTAATTGGCGCCAATATCTGCCGTCGTTAATTTCCGGTCGCTTGCGTTCAAAATGCTAGCAATACTGCTCGGATTGACAGGTGAAAACCGATTGGATGCTTTTTTCCGGCGGATAATTTCGAAATTGTTCACATTTTCTCTCGTGATTTCATCAAGTTATATGAAGCGTGCTAGTGCATTGCAAAATATCAAGTCTTCTGGCTCGATGCTACAGCAACCACATATTAACACAATATTTCAGGCATCATTGCCAGTTACATAAGTTGTCACGTATTATGTAAAAAACCTAGTGTTCTATCATCGCTGTTCACTGACGTTTAAGCAACACGTACAGCTTCAAAACGAGTTCACAACAAGTGTACAACAGCTTGTGCTAAGTTAACAACTCATAAAAAGACCTACACTATGTCACAAAAAACCTACGAAATGTCAAAAAAACGACAAAATGTGACTTTTAAAGCTACGTAATACCTGTTGGACCAATACATACCTAATTTACTGTTTATAGTTACCTAACCTCACGGCTATTATTTAAAAAACCTATAAAACGTCAAGAAAGATGAACGAAATGTCATCTTGCAGACTAGGTTGTTGTTAGGGTGAAAATAGTTCATTCCACGTTTGCTCGCTATGATCGCTGTGAGCGTCCATATATGGAGCAATAACTCAGCTACACGCATTGTTGGCTGCAGAAAGCAGGTATATGTGAGAAAGCTATAAATTACGATTTTTTCCGTTTTTTTTTGTTTTCAAAAACTTGACGCATCACACTTCAGTTTCGCAGTGCCTCACACCTAGGCGCTGGTTAGTATTTTCTATTGACCTAGCAATATGAATTATAAAATTTAGATGACTGGAAATAATAATGAAATAACCTTTTCACTTTCATAAATATTCCTGTCTGTAGCATATTTTCTCACCTGTTACTTCACCAACCAGGGATTTTCTTTTCTTATATCTCTCATTTTTGAAATTCAGCATATTTGCATATGCAATTTACGAAATGAAAAAAAAAGGTGGATGCGCAACTAATTTTTAGTGTGTCTAAGTGTATTTGAGACAAGAAACCAATGCACTGCCGTTTCCCTCCAGCTATACAAGTACAAAACGGGTTCACAATATGTGTCCTCAGACAGTGCTAAAATAACAACTTGTACAAAAACCTACTTTATGTCAAAAGAAACCTACGTTATGTAAAAAACAACCTAATGTCTCTTTTCAAGATACGTAATACCCATGTCATGCCCTTTAGATAGATTAAAGTACTTCATAGCCTTGAACACATATTTCAGCCTTCTATCAGCAGCTGTCGCTGTTGACAAAGCGAGTTTGTACCAAATCGTCTCAGTCATCTTATCTCTGAGAAACCGGAGCAAATGGCAAAACAGGATTGGAAAGCTTAAACTGCAGTACCTACTTTACAATGAATAACCAAATTTAGGGTCATCCCAAATCAAATTCGAAGGAAACCAGAAATGAGAGAATCGCTGTGACATCATTCAGTAAGTGGGTCCGCATGCAATCTATATTGTTTAGATGTATCGCACAGCCTCAAAAAAGTCTACTGACAGAAAAGTAACCAAGGCTATGCAAGAAGTCAAGGTAATGTTGGGAATCTGACGGAGGATGTCAGATCTACACTTTTTTCCGTTTTTTTTACTGATCCATTGAAGTTTCGCCTCAAATACCTCAATAGTATGCCAAAATCACACTTTTTCCAAGTTTAGGCATATTGGGCAATTTTGAGATAGTCATATGGCTATGCATTTTTTGGAACAAGATATTAGAATATTCAAGGAGTGATATCACTAGGAATGAAGATTTGCAGCCCTGCACGAACTGTCTGACGTCACTACCACGAGCCCAGTTCGTGGGGACGTTGAAACAGTTTTAAATGGCAAATAAACATTTTTGAAAATAATTTTTGTTTGTTGGGTGTATGTATGATGGTAGCTTACGATTCAAGTTGCATTAAATTATTTTAGTTTTTGAGAAAGTTGGTTATTGCTGATACCCTTGCTTTCAATCAAGGTTGTAATTTCAGATGAATGTGTCCCCTTAGGTGATACTGTTTATCAATAGAGCCTCCATTGCTGAACATCTGACCAGTTACAGTCCTGATGCACACCAATAATTTTCTTTGCCATCTGTTCCATCCACATTTCAGAATCCACTTCATCGTAAGCGTTCGTCTATCGGATTTATTCCCGTCCAATACGCTTATCTTCTTTTTTGATATTTGCCACCTGTTACTCGCCGTTTCTCATAAGGGGCTTCTCGTCACTTCTGCGACAGATTGCACTGATAACTCCGAAGACTGAGATCTTGTCGCAAGGAGAATCGTAATTGCAAATATACGGACACGGCATGTTAAGGGAGATGGAAGATTGCATACAGATTAATTTCCAGAAAAAGAAAGATCTCTTTGGGTTCGCTTACTGGACCTGCTTTTCCAGTCGCAGGTCAATATTCAAGCTGTCAAGCTAGAGGCCAGGAAATAGGGAGATTTTGAATAACAAAATTCTACAATGAGTGCAACAATGCTTTTTGTGATACCATTAGTATATCGCCTTCAAATTTTACGTTCAAATTGTCGTGATAGGGCATTAGCCTGCATTGCCATAAGCTCGTTTCATCAAATATGCCATAAACTATCAACCCTATGCAAAAAAGTGATGGAGGGATTTTGTAGGATTAAATTCTAATTCTCTACCATTTTGATTTCATAAATTATTCCATAAAATCAACAGTTTACAAGTGATACAAGGATAAAACTACATGCAAGCTAACAATTAATATATACAGGGTGTCCGCAAAGTTGGGGTTTTCCTTTTCAGAAACAACTACCCTTGAAATAACAAAGGCAATGTGTAGTGAAACGAGGGCGACCAAGTAAAAAAAAATAAAGGAAAAAGTACTCTCTCCAGTTGACGAGAAGGGCTAAGTACGTCTCTGCCCGAAATCATACCACTCCAACAGAAAATAAAATCAGCTGATGCACTACCGAGCAGACGCAGAAACCACATTGATCATCTTACACTTAATGGCACATCTTCTAACAAGGAAGGCAAAATGTTGCGTAAAAAGTCTAGGTATTGCATCCCGTCCAATCGATTTGGAGAATAAATGGTCCAATGAGCATACCGTTCACCATGCCAGCCCAAACATTCACCGAAAATGTTTGTTGAAAATGTGCCCGACGGACAGCGTGCGAATTTTCGACTGACCAAACATGAGTGTTGTGAAAGTTATTCACCCCATTACGCGTGAAAGTAGATTCGTCTGTCAGCAATATGCACTTCAAAAAGTCCGGATTATTGTCATGTTGATGCAACAACCACTCACAAAACCGCACTCTTGCTGGAAAATCGTCAGGTTGAAGGGCTTGTACACGTTGGACGTGAAACGGATACAGCTCCTCTTCACGCAGCGTTTGCCACACTTTAGTTTTTGATACTTGCACTTCTCTAGCCACGTCTCTAGTGCTTGTTGAGGGATTATCGTCTACGCGATTACCTCTACACGCGTGACCATAACCGTCGGTTGAAGGTTGCATACTGACCTGACACACTGACCCCGACCCAGTTCTGTCGTCGGGTTGAGCCAGTGACCTTGTACCAGTCGGTGATGTCGCGGCTACAGGACGGTATTCAGATATTTTTGATGTTGCAGAGCCCTTTATCTCGGTTCCCTTAGGACATTGGTGTATATGGTACTAAGAAAAATTGCTTATGTATTCAAGATCTACACGTCGTGTAAAGGAAAACCCCAACTTTGCGGACGTCCTGTATATATATATATATATATATATATATATATTAATATAGGAGAAAAATAAAGCTTCTGCCTTCAGTTGGGTACTTCGACAAGATTAAAGCGTCATCTTTATACTTTATTAGTCCCTAGCTTTCGATGGGCTATGCCAACTTTCATTCCAAATATTTTTAATCCATTGTGATGTGTTCCTGACATCCAGCTGTGTGCGTTTTTTACCAATTTTAACGAATGTGCCATGGATCCAGGTTAATGTTTCCCCCAACTTAACCTTTAATAATACTTAGCAAGAATCTCACATACTCTTCTCCTGATGATGATGGCATAGCCCGTCGAAAGCTAGAGACTAATAAGGTATAAAGAGTCCTCATCGCTTTAATCTTGTACGAAGTACCCAACTAAAGCCGGAAGCTTTATTTTCTCACCTAACTGGCCTAGACGACAATGACCACTCAAGTTATATATATATATATATATTTAACAAAAAGTAGGAAAATAATGGGCAAATTCCGCAAAAAGGAGGAAAGTGGATTCGAGCAGAAAATAGGATAGGTAACCCAAGCGATACGTATTTCTGATGGTAGGCTTCATTAGGCCCGAAATGAATGCAGATATGCAACTACAAAAGTAGGTACACATGCCCACACATCCGGATACGGGTGTAAGCTGAGGAAAAGAAGATAGAGAGGGAAAAAATCGACACACGAAGTCCACAACAAGAGCAATCCTACACATTGTAGTATAAAATGGCTAGAAGGCCTCGAATTTTCAAGTAGACATCTAACCGAAACCACGCGGCCGGTTATAGCCACTTGCTGTGGTACTTTAAACCCAAAGGATCTATAAAGAGAAAACGATCGTGTGGAGAAAGGTATCTAACAAGAAATAGGAAAATAATGGACAAATTCCGCAAAAGAAGGAAAGTGGATTAATGGAGAAAATAGGATAAGTATCCCGAGCCATACGTATTTCTGCTGGTTGACTTTATCAGGCCCGAAATGAATGTACATGTGCAGCTACAAAAGTAGACCCACATGTCCACACATCCGGATACGGGTGTAACCTGAGGAAGCGAAGATGGGGAAGAAAATTTGCCCATTATTTTCCTATTTTTTTGTTGTTGTATAGAGTACGGGTGGTCCATCCATGTGTGGACGGAATATTACTCATAAACAAATACATTTTGGGAAAATCCAGTCAAGAAATGTTATACATGACATTTTAGGGCTCATTTCTGGAACATTTTCCTTATACATGGTGTCCCAATTCCGACCTACATATCAAAGCTTTGATTTTTCAAAGGAATGCCTTAAATTGCATATTTGGATAAACCAATTCAAAAGAAGAAAACTGATATGACATACTATGGGGTTTTGGTAATTAGCCACTGAGATAACTTTTATTTTATTTGTTACTTTTTCGAATTTCAATTTTTGCTCATACAGGGTGGTCAAAAACGCAAATTGTAGTTTTGCTCAAACATTTCAAATGCATCACCCTGTATATTTGTGCAAGGTTGGATTCAATTTTTTATAAGCCTTTTTTGGATACTAGATACATAAGGGTTTTTACGGCTATTTTTTCGGTTATTAGCACGTCTTTTCTGGAACAAATAAATTGTTGATTAGTTACAATCTGCCATAATTAGCTTTGTGAGCATTATACTCGTAATAAAAACGTGTTTGAAAATGAATTTTTCTAAAGAAGAAATGGTGAATATGGCGTTCGTTTTGGGCGAAAAACGTGTTTGAAAATGAATTTTTCTAAAGAAAAAATGGTGAATATGGCGTTCGTTTTGGGCGAAACCCAAAGAAACAGTCTCCTAGCATCTCGCATTTATAAGCAACGGTACAATAATATGCGACATCCAAGGCCGGAAACATTTTACACACTACGAGAACGGTTTGAATCAAGTGGAGCAGTGGAATATAGTAAATAATGTATAAATAATCCAAGTGTCACCAGTTAGACGAATCAGTTGGAGGTTCTATAAAAGTTGCAGGAAAATCCCCATTTAAGTGCACGGCGAATTGGAGCAGAAACTGATATATGCAGAACTTCTGTCCGAAGGATTATTCACAAGCATAGGTACCATCCACATCACCTATGCTTGCATCAAGGCCTTTGTCCTCAGAATTTCGCAGCTAAAATGGAGTTTAGTAGAATAATTCTAAATAAAGTGAGTGAAGACACTACTTTCCTGAATAAGGTTCTTTTTAGCGATGAGGCACCTTTGCACAGCATAGGTGTCGTCAGTAGGCATAACATGCACTATTATTCTACGGAAAACCCTTACTGGGTTAGGCAAATAGATTTCCAAAATAAATGGAGCTTGAATGTTTGGAGAGGAGTTTTTTTCAGACTAGTTATCGGGCCATTCTTCCGGATTAACAGGTACAGAACAGTTGAATTTTTTGATCGCGCATTTGCCTTGCTTATGGAGGATGTCAACCTGCAAACTCGGATGCATATGTACTTCCAACATGACGGTGCACCTGCGCATTATCATAATCGTATGCGTAACTTTTTGGGCACCTGGAGTAGAAATAGTTGTATTGGTCGTGATGGGCTTATATCTTGGCCTCCTAGATCACCAGATATGACACCGATGGACTTCTTTCTACGAGGCTACGTTAAGCAAGATGTTTATAGATATCCACCATCTACCCCGGAAAATATGAAGGAAAGGATTAAGGATGCTTTTCTGAACATAAGGGAACACATGCTGAAGGATGCGCAACGGTCATTTATCCAAAGACTACGGCTGGGTATTCAACATGGTGGAGATATTTCTGATCAGTTTTTGAGATTAGGTCTTGAGCAGTGTTAGTTGTTTATTGATGCTGTTGTTATAGTTGTTTTTCTCTATTACGCTTGAAGCTGATTTATACTGTTCTGATTGTTATTAGTTTCTACGTCAAATCTGTACTCGTAGTGGCAATATGGAACTAGCCCACCGTTTGTCTTTTGTTTCCATGGATGATGTGATTTTTTTCTTTAATTTTGGTGTGTTGTTCTATTAAAAGCTTAATAACTCAAAATCTAGTGATTTTATCTGAATCAAGCCTCAGACCAAAAAAAGCTTATAAAGAATTGAATCCAAATCTGCATACATATACAGGTTGATGCATTTCAAATTTTTGAGAAAAAGTATAATTCGCGTTTTTGACCACTCTGTACGAGCAAAAATGAAAATGCAAAAAAAGTAACAAATAAGATAAATGTTGAGGAGTGTAACTTTTTTTTGGTATAAAATTCAGCACTCCAAATTTCAAAATGGCGCATTGAGAGGTTACCGAAGTGGACGGTTCTTCTGGACGAAACGCGTTACATCTCAATAGATAATTACCAAAACCTGATAGTAGGTCATATCAATTTTCTTCTTCTGAATTGGTTTATCCAAATATGCAATAAAATTTGAGGCAGTCCATTTAAAAAATAAAAAATTTGATATGTAGGTCAAGATTGGGACACCCTGTATTATTGCCAATATTTCAGAAATGTGCCCTCAAATGTCATGTATAACATGCAATAAATAGATTTTCCCAAACTGTATTTGTTTATGAGTAATATTCCGTCCACACATGGATGGGCCACCCTGTATATACGAGTATATAAAATATAATGAGCTACAAAACGACCATTTATATTTCTTTGGTAGCTTTCAAACAAGACAATTTCACGTGGTGATAATTGCATATTCATTATCCATGATCAAGAATACTATTTTAAGATGGATCCATTTTTTTATCGCTCTGTGTAAGTATGAAACACGTTATATTTATGGATGACGCATGACGTATCTGATGTTATTATTAGGAAAATCAATTACTTGGGTCATTACATCGGTCTGCCTCTTGGTGATTTTGTCACTGCATCATTTCAGCAGTCGCTCAAGAGACTTAAATGGAAGAGTAAATGTGCTATAAAATGATAGTCTTTATCACTCTTGTTCCACTAAGATCGTTGCAAATGCTGCTGAGGCCCCGTAGTGGTAATATGGTCAACGGAGAGACTGATGAAACTGGCAGATTTTGATTATCAGAAATCATCCGAAAATTCTACATTATCCATATTTACGCGTTGGAGTGAAAAAACTGATTCACTTTAAAATGGTATTCTTGAATACGGAGTTACCCGAACTGACATGGTCTCACGTAGACAGCGTATATGGTCTGCAGAACATGTCGCGCGGATGTTTTATCCTTCGCTCCTTATACTCTGTGAACGATCAAGCTGTCAAAAAAATGGGAGAAACATTTTTCATGGCAAATTTGACTGTCTACAGAAGGTAATAAATGTATATTTATAATTGTGAGCTACTGGTTTAGTAGTTGTAACTTTTGCGTCAAATTTCTCGTAAACCGTTGCGCGATCACGGTAAAATTTATGAATTTAAGATGTGGAAGAATTCAGTTCTGTACAAAAATCATTTTATCACTTTTTATTTAGTATCTAGATCTCTAAAGATATCAATGAAAAAAATCTGTTGCACTTATTGTACAAAAACCTATTCTCTGGAGTATTAAGTAACTATAACCTTGAAGTTAATTATCAACATAGAGCAAATTATACGAATGATGAATAACAAATGAATTCATTGTTTTGCGACTATAATACTGAATAATTACATTTGTGCAAAGGAACATGGAATGTGAATTGAATTATTTGTTCGTTGGTCAATTATTGTATAGAAATAAAAAAGGAGCAACGGTTTTAAAATCAAATGTGCATTAGCTTACAGTTTTTACATACATTTATGATTACTTTCTAAAATTAATGTTCATCACCTTTGTTTGAGCAAATATATTGTCAGACAATCTCACAAAGCAACCTGCTTGACTTTGGCAGATTCATCAACGATGCGTACGAAAAAACGGGTTCTACCGATGCAGTTGAAAAAAATGGTGAGTTGTCAAAGTTGTTTTTATTTCAGGATAAGAATCTGGAACATTTAAATTATCACATCATCTCTGGTTTTCGGTGATTGCCGTTGTATGTCCACTTCACTTTCCGCGTCTGATTCGAAGTCAAAAAGTGAGTTTTATGGAACAAACTCTTTTGTATTTTCTTTTGCTACTTGCAGATTCTAAGCAATTGTACAAGTAATATAATCATGTATTCGTAGACAATTTGAATAGTTGTTCGCATAACCATCCAGATAACGTATTCGAATAATACCCAACTTTGATAACCAATTGCGTTTAAATTTGTTTTTCTTGTTGTAGTTAATTGACTTCCAACTGTTGACGTGCTAGTCATGTTCTGATGCTCGGCGCTTGTATCGCACGTCACTGTCAACGCAGAAAGTGTGAAGTTGTTTTAGGTCAGTAGTGTATTTTCGAATATTATGAACCTCCAGAGGTAAATGGTTGGATCTGCGCCAACATAGTATATGTTCGAAACTAGGGATGTTCAATACGATCCACTATTTAGAAGCATCGATACTTTTGCTTCCGATACCCGATATTTTGGATCGATAATTTTATATACGGTAGGGGAAAAGTAGGTAATATGCCCCAGTTGACAAAATGCCCCACTAGCGTTTCACTGAAACAAGCACACTTTTTCGGCACAATGCGGCATCCGCGCATCGATGAAAGTCTGCCGGCAACATGGTTTATGTTCCTACACGCGTGCTGTAGCTTGTTAAAAAAATATTGCAAAGGATAGTTTTTCAGTGGTCGGACAATTTGTGGTAAGTTCCAAACAAATTTATATATCGTTAATACTATTTGTTTTATTCCAAACTTATATGCACCATGTTAAAACATATAAAATTGGCTTCATGCTCTTTGTGTGTCAAACAACATAACCTAAAATTCCTTTCTTGCATCAGAGTGGGGCGTTTTAGACACCATATTTTACAATATGCCCCATTGTATGGTTTATAATTCGCCCCACCATTAAAAACGCAAATATTATTCATGGTTCTTATGTTTTCCAGAATATGTCACGAAAATATGAACGGAAGTCACTACGAGCGTCATGGGCAGCTGAAGATTTGGAAGAGGCGATGCAGCAAGTCCGGGGAAAAATTATGGGCATTAATGAGGCTTCCAGACGTTTTGGAATACCATCCAGAACATTGAGAAGACACCTTATAACGGGAAAATCAAAGGTCCCCCTTGGCCGCAACCCTGTATTTTCAGTTGAATATGAAAGAAAACTTGTAGCACATATACAAAAATTGGAAAAAGTTGGTTTTGCACCAGACAGAAATGATGTGAGGGAAATGGCTTTCCAGTTAGCAAAAAAACTTGACATCAAACATACATTTTCTGAAAGGTCGGGATCAGCTGGTAGGGTGTGGTTTACTGGATTTATGAAAAGAAATCCAGAACTAACTCAAAGAAAATCAGAAGGCTTATCACTTGCACGAGCATATGGAGTAAACAGAAAAGACATTCAATATTTTTATGACCTTTTGGCCAAAATTTACGAAGAAAATGACTTTGCATCTCATCCTGAAGATATACATATATAACATGGATGAGGCAGGGATTCAGGTTAATAACAAGCCAGGAAAAGTAGTGGCAACAAAAGGGGTCAAAGATGTATATACTCTCACAAGTTGTGAAAAAGGTGAAAATGTGACAGTTATAGCATGTTGCAATGCTGGAGGTAATTTCATGCCTCCTACATTAATATATAAGGGAACTTACACTAAGCCCCAGTTTTCTGAAGGGCTTCCACCAGGATCACGAGTCCTTATGAATAAAAAATCATCCTATATTAACTCGGACTTGTTCATGCAGTGGTTTGAAGAAGTATTTTTACGACACAAAGGTCCTCGAACGACTTTATTAATATTAGATGGTCACAGTTCGCATAGTAACAATATTCGGGTACTAGAAGTAGCCAAAGAAAATAATGTGATACTGTTATGCCTACCAAGCCACACAACGCATGTACTTCAGCCTCTTGACAAGGCCTTTTTTAGGCCACTCAAAATGTTTTTTGCACAAGAAGCTAAATCTTGGATGGTACAAAATAGAGAAAAGAAGTTGACGCGCTATGATGTCTCAAAACTGATTGGCAAGGCTTGGGGTAAGGCCGCCACTGTATCCAATGGTGTTTCAGCGTTGAAGTGCTGCGGTATCTATCCATTTGATCCCCATGCTGTTGCAGACTATCATTTCTCATTATCAGATTCGCTACAAGAGCAAAATTTAGTTGACATTGACGAAGTCAACAATCAAAGTACAAGAAGTACTGATGAGAGTCTTACAGGAAATACTGCACCAGCAACTGAGATTCTGTCACAGCCAGGAACGTCAGGTCTCCACAGCACTCCAGTCTCCCTACATGATGACGAATCTGTGAATACGCCGCAAAAGCACCCACAAAATGATGCATCCCAACAAGTAGGCATTTGTGATAAAACGCCTGAAGAAGCCATTCCATCTTCTGATGTAGAAGACAAAGAAACGCCTTCCAAAGTTCTAAGTGAAATACATCCAGTGCCCAAACTACCAAAAAACCTGTCCAAAAGGAAACAAACAGCAATCATTCTCACTTCGCCGGAAAATATTGAGAAAAGAACATTACTGGCAAATAAAAGAAATATTAAAGCCGAAGCTGACAGTAATAAACTCAAGAAGGCTAAAACAAAAGTGACTAATACGAAGAAAAGGGATGACCTTAGTAGAGTAAAAGGTAAAAAGGTGTTAAAGAAGAAGCCAAAGAAGAATGCGTGGGATTCATCGTCTTCAGATAGCAATGATGAAAATATGGAGACGTTTGAGGAGTCGGAAGAAGAGCTATCTGATGAGGATCCAAACAGATGTGCCGAATGTACTGAAAACTATTACCAAACACAATCTACAGAGGATTGGATCCAATGTCCCACTTGTTCAGCATGGCTGCATGAATTTTGTACAATGTATGCTCCTATGTGTAATCGTTGTGGACGAAAAGCTAAAAGGGCATCTATCCAGAAATGAGTTCCATTCATGCGTATAAACATTATATACCTATGTATTATATTTCAAAGATTCATTTTATCACTTCATCAAACACTAATAGTGTCGAATTATCATTTCATTTTTGTTTGTACAAAAGTAATATTCTAGTTTTATTTCATCAGAAGTGCTGTATCTTACTCTGATATTCATTAAAGTTATTTGAATGTTCATTTTTTCAATTATTGCTTATATCTTCAAATTAATATAATATTGAAGGTAGTGGGGCATTTTGCAACTCGTGCGAGGCGTATTACCTGAGGGTCAGTTGACAAAACGCCAAGGTTCTGGAAAATATGCAATCAATATCTGTCTAAACGATTTAGATCAATGTAACATCTGTCTTTACGTTGTAAAAGAGCCAAGCTATGCCCCTGATTAAGATCTTGCCGATATCTTCAAATGTTTTCTTTCAATAGGCCCTTGAAAAAAAGTGGGGCGTATTACCTACTCTTCCCTTGGGTGTATCGATACATTTCACGATTATCGTCATCTTTCGATCTGGACTGTATCAGAGAGAGTGACTAACTTCAGATCACTTTTCTTCTTTGTATCCTCCCGCGGGTGCTACTCACTTCACGAACCTCAATGGGTGAAAATTTGGCGATATTTTTTCGGGGGATTTTTTTTTGGGAAACATTTTACTGCGGAGGTATTATTATGTAACATTTTATTAATGACGTTACATAATGTACTTGTTATGTATTTATTTGTCTTTCGATTCAAAAAAAAATACTTTAACCTTTTGGGGTATTTAGCGACATACAGAAAAACATGTCGCTCAAAAAAAAATATTTTTGATCCAAGAATAGATGCCTAGCAAATCGTAATCCTATGGTAATAAAAATAGATGGCATTTTTTAGAGGATTTTTTTCGGAAAAGTACTGAATTTAAGAGATTTTTACATTTCGACTGGGGAAACTGAGCTAAATGACCTGGCAACCTTGTTGGATTTAGTTTTGAGGAGTTACACACACATGACACACAGTGGTCTTAGTACCGATTCATCATACATAATAGTTTAGGCCAAAACATTATTGTGATAGTGATGGCTCCTGTAAGAAGTGATTTGTGGAGTTATCTTGTAAAACCGATTTAGGTGGGAGATGAAAGTTATGCAGTTGTGAGGTCTTACACCTGTTTTTTATTAGTGAACGTACTTGACAATCTAGTCACGCAGTTGAAAAAATCAAAACATTATTCCGAGGATTGTAGAAAAAACAACTTCGATTTTCGGCAGTGCATGTTTCGTATCAGGAAGTTTCGATACTTGTGGTATCGATATTTTAATTCTGATATATTAAAATATCGATATTTTCTGAAGCAATACGGAGCGATACATGGTATCGATACTTTTCGTGGATAGGAAGATCCATACTCTAAGCTGTACGCACAAAAAGCACTACATAGTTTTGATTTTTGACGATAATGTTGATAAAAGTAATTCACCTGCTTGCTGATACGTCCTTTATAGGTACATAAATCTTGTAATAATAAAAATCACATGTTCTGAACAATATTGTATCATGTTATAAGAAAATGCCTATCAACGCTTTGGCACTTTGTTACCATAAACAAAAACGTCCCTTCACCGATTTAGAAGGGAAGATGGCATGGATGCTACTGTAAAACAAATGGATATGACCGCTTCAAGCTAAAGATAAAAATATCCAATGAACCTAAACGGTTTTTCCACAGTCCCATCAGCATCGTCATCATCATCACATTCAGCTAAAGAATGCACTTTAGGATAAGGGAAACCCAAGAGGCGTACGCTTATCAGGGGCTTGAATCCGTTGATATACGAAATGGGTCTACTGTCGCCATTACTACAGCGTCCTAATGCTGAAAAGCTTTTAATCGTATATGGAAACTCACAGTAAGCAGTGAGCAAAAGGATTATAGCAGATTTTACCGTAAATTTTGCAAAGCTCTGGATTGGTTGTTGTTATCTCGCCCTTTTCTCCATTTTAATTCTTGTTAAGTTAGTCCCGATGAAAGGAGCTATTTTCTAGCATCGTCCACCTTGTGAAATAATTACCAAATTTACATTATGATGTTTAGTAAGTTGTGTATATTCTAATGACAACAGCTTTCGCGATCCTTCAGCCTGAAGCGCATAGCGAAGAAGGATATTATATGCGGACTAATGGTAATCTTCTCAAACTAGGTATGTATAGAATTTTTAACACTACTGACATGCAGTGATTTTTTAAAACGACCTCCGCCCCTGTATCAGAAAATGCACAACTTTTAATCACGATCATGAGGTTCCAACTCTCGTACTTCTAAATCTAGTTGCCTGCTTTCAATCTGATAAACCAGAAGTTAATGAATCCAACAGATAGCCGGTTTTATTTAGACTGGTCTTTCGTAGGGGAGTAAGGTACACATTTTTCTAGTTGATAACATTAGAAGCCGTTTCCGAGCATTATGTCAATTATTGGGGTATTCCAGAAGGAGAAGGAGAGATATACATATTAGGAGCTATACTCAAAATTATTTACTTTTCAATTATCCTAGAAGATTTTGAAATGTAAAGTGCAGTTGTCAAACTAACTTAATCATGTTGACAGGGCTACAACTTCAAATGACGTTATTGTTTACCATACCTATTCGTTTTTTACCTTCACTATTTACCTATAGATCTTTTTTCGGTTTTTTGCGGCTCACGATAAAATCACAGGAATTATTTCCATACAACCATCTTCCTGACACGTATGTATGTATATATGCACTCCGCTAACGACACACGTTTTTTAGTTATGTCTCCCTCATGAACATTTTTTCCTCAACATATGAGTCTTCCACATTTATGCTTGTCACTATCATGGTGACAACTTCCTTGTGGCGGGAGTGACTTGCGCTTACTCATGTTAGAGGTACTTTCAGAAATTCAGTTAAAACAACGGTCATCTATCACCCAATTCATGTGCGTGTGCAAGAGCGAGTAGCATTTGCGTTACGCATCAGCTCGTGCAATTTCTCAAGGGAAGTCAAGCTACGTACATGGTCCCATAAGTCAATCTGTCAAGCGCAAAAGACCGTAAAAATATCTAAGAGAGAAATGCTACTTCGCAGTAAGGCATTGCGGCCAATTACTGGTGATTTCTCGGTTTGGCGGTGAGAAAACGCTATTATTATATATTGACGTAGGTAAAAACATACTGAACTGCATATATGTTGAAAGAATTGATGAGAGATTCAATGTCTTATCAGACAGTCTTCTTGAAAAGAGCCTCACACTAAACGCTCATTCGGTTTTAATGGTTTAATTATGCTTTGCTAGAAATCCACTTATTTTGTCATGTTATAGTTTAGATTACCGAGGACATGATACGACTTGGAACAAGCACGTATCCTAAAGTACAGGAACTGTACAAACCTAGGTGAAGATATTGTGTGCGATCAGCCAACGTAAAATCCAGCAATGTTGGAATGAAATGCATACTTCTTTATAGAAAATGAAATCATTATCTGTCACAACAGAATAGATAGAAAAACATACATTTGTATGGGGTCTGTTGCAGAAAATTGTGAAACTTGCGAGTTAGTTTGTTCTATATTTATGTATAAAACACATATCCTATACAAGATACATTTATTTATATGCGTTATAGTAACACACTAATTTGCTTGCTTAGCGAAGTACGACAAAAAAATCTCGTAGTCTGTGGAATCTGTCAGATGCGACAATAGAGGTGTATGTCAGTACTCGAATTTTAATTATTTATGCGTGCATGCTGATGAACTTCTAAACTGAAACAAGCAAGTTGATGTCATTCTTAACAAGCTGTCGAAGCACTGGTATATTATTTTTCAACTTCGCAATTTTATGAGTGTTGCAATTCTCAAGCTGTTCTACTCTTCGTTCGTACCATTCGCCCTTAGCTACATCATGGTTTGCTGGGGGAACTGCTCTCGCATTGGTGGTATTTACAATTCAGAAAAAATAATATTGAGAACCATATATATAGCATAGGCGCTAACTGTTGACAGTTCACTCTCTTTATATCTACAGATGCCTTCTCCATATTAAAGAAAATTTGAATCCTTTCTGCATAAATAGGAGATCTACACCAGACAGAAGATGTACTAATACTCTCACACAGACTATCTTTAACTTCAAAAATAAGAACAATTATGTTGAATAACGCTTTCTATAGCATTGGGGAATATTTCAATTGTGTATTTGAATGATATTATCTTTTGTATTTATCATATTGATGTTATGTTCGCCATTCTACTTGTTATGTTTGTCTTTACATGATATACTTGAAACTCACAATTCCAATACTACTGTACATACATTGTGCAATCATCCTGGGATGAAGTTATTATTATTAGATTTGTAGTTGGTTCTGACGATTTCTCGATTAAATGACTAGCTTCGAAAAAATTAATCTTTTTGGCATATTCGTATAAGCAATCATAAGTTAAACCGACCTGTTCAACTAATCTCCAGCAACGCTATGGCTAGATGCAGATGCAGCAATTATACCGATTGGACATCGGCGAGATTGAATGCGCTATGACCCGAAGAAATTTCAACGTGCGAAACGAAAACAACCGCTTCGATTAAACTACGCAGCATTTGACCTACAGCCGCAAGTAGATCGGAATAACATGTGTGCGAAGCGGCAAGGAATGAATTTCAGACCTTTTGGGTTAATTTCCTAGGTTTGGATTACCACTTAGCCTCCACTTGGTGTTGTGTTCAAACGGAACAAGGTACGTCTGAGGCAGCCGCCACGATACTTGAGGTCTGCGTTACGTAACACTCGTTGCGTGTGGCCCGAGTAACCGGAGACTTATTTCAAGAAATTACCGCAGCTTTGACGGAGTTAACTCGCTAAAACAAGAGCTCCGGCTTGTATTTACGTGCATTAGCGGGGGCGGTTTTAGAGAAAGGCCATGGAG